AGGAGATTATTCCAGGCTGCTGGTCCCACATGCGTGTCGCCGGTCAATGATTGTGCACCGCAGCAACAGGAGGTGTGTCAGGTGCTGCTGCTTGCTGTGATCTGCGGATGAGGCGAGCGGGGTGGTTTGGGGCAGCGATATTGCAAGTCAGCCTCTGACGACGCCTCACCACCCGGCGCGGGTGCCAGCGGACGCCAATGGTGTGCTCGACTGCGTCGAGGTTGCCAACACGGCAACTACTAGTTGGGGGTTGGTAGTACCAAACCCCCCTTCGTGCTCCCTTGCCGCAATCCCCGCGCGTTTGAGCCATGACCCCACACTTCCTGAACGCCTGGTGGCCCCACCCGCACCCACCCCTTCGCACATCCCACCCCAAGCACGCTCATCTCTGCGTTCTCCCCTCCATCGTCCTTTGGCCTCTCCCTTATTGCCCTCCCCCCTCTCTCCTTCCGTCCCTGTTCCTGCCGCGCCTGTTCCCCCTCCCCTTTCGCCGACGGCCCCATGCTCGGCTGCACCAGCCAATGCCCCTGCCGCGCGGCCGCTTGACCGTCACAAGAGCACTTGCACGGGCAAAAGGTGAGGTGGCACAGCGGGGTGTTGATTTTGACCAAAAGGCAGAGTCTGATGCTTGCCTGTGGGGACAGGCAGTCTATCAGGAGCCTGTTTGGTAGCCACCCTGCACCCACAGCATGCACCACCTGTGTCGCGAACCCAGCACGTCCTTCCGCTGTTTGAAGTCCAGGCAAGCTGTGGGTATCAACTTGGGGCACTGTTGGGTGCCGGCCCGCGGCGTTCTGGGTGCTGTTGATGGCATGGGCAATCTTGACCAGTCATGACAGCCTGAGTGCTGGTTTGACCCAGACGGCCGTGTTGACAGGCGCAGTTCTGCTGTGTCATCGCAGTTGGATAAGCACCCTGCAGCACGTCCATGCTTCAGCGCTCCTGCGGAACTCAATTCAGTTTTGCGACCCCTGATTCTTTCAAGTCTCCTCTTCCATCGGCTGCGCATCCTTGCAGGCCCCTGACGGGGTGGCGGCATGGGTGGAGCGCGAGGAGGCATCTCGGGTGGCCACAAGCCGGCCTGCGGGGGCGATCCACCGCAGTTGGTGCATGCAGATGGCTTCGACCACCCGCAGATGGCGCACCACGGGTGGCTGGCCGACGGCTGCGGCCTGCATGTATGTGCAGTGCATGCCGGACTAGACAAGACCGCTGCGGCGCAGCCTGCAGCGCCGCAGCACGCGTCGTGGGCGGCAAGCGTGGTGCAGCAGTGGGCGCGGGCGCTATCGCACTGGTTGTGCGGGCGCAAGGCGTACGCCGATGAGTGCTGGCAGGTAGGTGGGCATCCAAGCTGTGCAAGCCCAGTTGCTGCACAGAGGCCAGAGACTGCACCTGCATCAACTCGACACACACACACTTGCATGCTTTACTCTACATGCGGGACCTGCTGCAGCTGCACGGCAAGCAGAGCAGGTTCAGTCTGAGCTGCCTTTGAGAAATCCCTGCAGTTTGAAATCGGGCATTTTCACATAAAGATAGGCAGCATTGCTGCTCCTGGTGCCTGTGATTGCAGTGGAGCTGTTGCAAGGGCTTTAAAAACTTTCATACTGTAACAAACAAGGTTAAAGCACGGGGTTGCATGTGCGGAAGAAAGTTCACTATAACTTCAACGTGCATGTGAAAGCCTTCCAACGGATAACGCTAAAAGCTTGACCTTAAACCTCACGATCATCCAGCCTGTGGTGCCGGGCAGGCAGCAGCGGCACTGGCTGCTGCCTGCCTCTCTCGGCATGCCTGGCGGTGACCGGGCCACGTGCTGCGCATGCACTCCAGGCTGCAGTAGCGCACTGAGCGGCACCCGCGGCACAAGCGCAGCCGCACGCCGTCCGCAGGCGTCTTGGCGCATGCCGCGCATCTTTCGCCGGTGGCGTCCCTGCGGCCCTGCTCGGGTGAGCCCTTGCTATTGATAGGCAGAGCGATGCTGCTGCTGCTGCTTGAGGCCCCCGATTCCCTCTGTTCCCGCTCCGAGCCCGCTGCAGCACCCGCTGCTGTGGGTGCCGCCCCTGCTGAGCGATCGTCTCTGCTGCGGCCGCTGCTGATGGTGCTGTCGGCTGAGTTGCGCTGCTGCTGCTGCTGCTGCTG